TGATGACTGGATTAAAGAAAAGGTGGCTACTGTAATAAACACAGTGATGACAATAGTACTGCAACATGTGTGATGTTTGCATTACGTGAGTTACAAAAGCAACTTGAGACTATAGATGTTGACGCAAGATTTTTAATTTCAAAGAGTTGTGTGATAATAATCATGTGTGGAAGGATGCGAGACTTTCAAGCAACTATATCGATACAAAATGACTGAGCGATCTTCAGTCAGTGCTACGGTACTGAAGGTGATTGACGTTGTGAAGTGTCTCAATTAAGTTCAATCATGAACCATGAAATAAGTATTGATTTTGTTCTGCAATCTCCATCGAAAAGAGCTATTCGAAACTAATTATGAATTAAATATGATTAAACTCGAATGCATACTCATTAAGTTGCTCAACATGCTTAAGACTATTGAGCCCAATATCAAAGCTACAAGTGGGCAAGCCATTGATTCCTCTAAGGGTATTAAGAAGAAGTCTAAAGGAGTTTTGGGAAAATGTCCAATATGGCTAAGCCTGTCTTAGCGAAGGACAATACCAAATCTAATGACCTTTGGTTTCATTATAGAATGAAAAGCCATTGGCAGAAATATTACAAGGCTTACGTCTACTTCACGAGTTTTTTAGGTATTTGATACCAGATGTAGATATTATATTTATACAAATATGGAGAAACTAAATAGAAGTAGACCACTACGAAAGAGAAAAGTTGACCTACACGTTGAATATAAGCAAATGTTATTGCATTGCCTATAGGAGCATATTTCTTACTGTTGCCTTTTGGCTTAGTATTGGAATTAGAGAAATGTTGCTTTGTGCCCACCATAGTTGGAACATTAAAATGAATTTCATATTTAGACACGAACTATTTTGATGTTAAGGACAATTGTTGTTCCTGCTTATCTTGATTAAGATCTTAATAATTATGGTAAGTTACAAAATAACATTTATATTCTAAATACTAAGCATTCTATAATGAGTATAGAAATTAAGAGGCATAAAAGTGATCATCTAAATAATACCTAAATTTGGTATTGCAGACTTGGTCATAGAGATGAAATGCAATTCCAATATTACATAGAGATATATATGTGGAATCAATTGATTTTGAATCATGTGACAAGTGCATATCATGTCTATTAGGCACAATGACCAAATCTCATTTCATTTGAAAGGGAGAATTGTCTGCATAATTATTTGCATTATAAATAGTGATGTATATGGACCTATGTTAGTTAATGTCCAATAAGGTTTCTCTTATGTCGTCAATTATCATGTATACTTGATGAAATTCAAGCATGAAGTTCTTGAAAGGCTCAAAGGATTCAATTTAAAAATAGAGAAACAAATAGGTAAAGATATCCTCACGTTAAGATCTGATCGACATGGGATTATCTTAAAGATTAAAATCTGGATTATCTAAGAGAGAATGAGATTCTTTTGCAGTGGACTCCTTCATATACACTGCAGCATAGTGGTATATCTAAAAAAAGGAATCGTTAACTATTAGATATAGTGTGATTAATAAAAAGCCATGCAAATCTTCCAAAATTATTTTGGGGTCATGCATTGATTGCAGTGTACAACACACTAAATCATGTCACATCTAAGTTGGTTAACAGAACTTCTTACGAGTTATGGAAATACAGTAGTCTCAATTTATCTCATATGAAAGTTTGGGGCCATGACACTTATTTGAAGCGCCTTGAATCGAATGAGTTTGAAACTAAATTCGATAAATACGTATTTGTGGGGATATTCAAAGCAGACATTTGAATATAAATTCTATTATCGTGAAGAAAGTCTTCATCTCACGACACATCGCCTTTTTAGAGAAAATGTTTACTCTATGGGAGGACAGTGGGAGCAAAATAGAACATGAAAGAGGTCAAGAGTCTACAAATATAGTTAGCCAAGTATATAAATCTGAGTTTGATCCCATATATGATATGGAACATACTTTTGATCAGGAAGTAGAGACTCCTGAGGATATGACAGCTCTATTTAAATCCAATAGGATCATTCGACCTTGAAGAAGGTGCGAATCAATGATTAATAATCAGGTATTACTGATCCAGGATAATGAACTTGTTAGTTACACCAAAATAAAGTCAAGCATTGACTTAAAAGAGACAGCAAAAGGCTATGAAACTTTAGATGAACTCGACATATGTGAACAAGGTTTGGACCTTAGTCAAGCCTCCTGATTGAATAAAATCCATAAGTTTTGTAAATAGTTTACAAGGAAAAGGTTGACATGGATGGGAATATCTATATATACAAAGTAAGGCTAGTAGCAAAGGTTATGTGTTGACCTTGGTGAAACCTTTCTCTTGTAGCCTTGCTGAAGTCCATTCGGGTTCTGCATGCAACAGTTGTATACCGTGACTACAGGTTAAGAGAAGTCTCTTGGAGCTGAAATCTTCGATTTGATGAAAAGTCAAAGTATTTGATTTTATCAAATTTAAAGACGAAATGTGTGTTTACAAGAAGATAGTGGGAGCATTGTCGTATTCCTAATATTATAGAAAACAACATCCCTATATTTCAATCGTTAAAATAATGGTTGTTAAAGGATTTATTCATGAACAATATGGGAGAAGTAACTTGATCTATAGAGGTAGATTTAGAAGATTGCTTAACTCATCCCAATTTACATAGATAAAATTTTGAGAAGATTTCATATGGAAAAACTGATTTACTCTTAAGCGGTATGTTGGAAAGGTTCCAAACGTGAAGCAATCGTTGATTCAATAGCAGAAACCTAATACATGATTACTTCAGAAGTAGCAAAGAGTTACAATATGGATCATGATGCTCATAAATGAACTTGGAGTAGTTCCTGATATTATTAATTACATGTCATTGTATTGTGATAACAATATAGTCATCACGAAAGCGAAGGAACTAAGGTCTCATCAATGATCAAAATATGTATTAAGGTGGTATAATCTCATCAGAGAGATAATACATAAAAATGACGTAAAGAGAAGAACAAATTCCCATATTTAATAATATTGCAGATCCACTAACAAAGACTTGTCGTAGCATAAACATGATCGTCATGTAGACTCTTATGATATTGGATACATAAGTGATTGGATCTAGTGCAAGTGAGAGTTTGTAAGTGTTATGCCCTAAGTCCAGTTAACATTAGAAATAAATACTTTTGATATATAATTAATGCAATTTAATGGTAGATCTATTATTTAATTAATAGACAATTAAATTAAATAATAGAGTCCGTAGATTCAAATCTTCGTAATTTGTTAATCACAAGGAGTTGTGATTGTGAGATACAAATTACATATGATTGAATCTTGAATCGTCCGTGGCCGTAAAACGAGATACAGATATCGTTATTATGGATATATTATCACGTGTGGCATTTCTTACTTGTGAAGTAAGTAGTTGATCTCACAAGTTAAAGTATGGTGATACTTAAATGAACACGTGGATGTTTTGTTATAGAACAAAACATTGGAGACCCGCCGAGAGATTCTACATGGATAACTATCTGAGTTTCAGTGGTTAATCTCTAATATTCGATAGTGGGATTGATCCTTTTGACTTGAGGTCGTCATAGTACCTTATATGAGGACGGTCATGCTTTGACGGTGTTGAATGTTGCTCTGCCAAGGGCCGCTAATACGGAATTGTTCGGGTATGTCAAGAATTATATGAAGGTTATGAATGACCAATAGAGGATTCGTCACTCTTAGATAGTAAGAGATTATGATCTGCGTTTCATTCAATTAAGTCGATAACGAAATCCTTGGCCAAGGTGTACTCATAAGTCGAAAATGAGTTTTCGATTTATATTGACTTAATAGTGAAATGAAAGATATGATCGATATTCGGGATTGACACATTTTCATATCTCGTAATTGATCGGATCATATTAACGAAGGGATTATAGTTTCACAGTAAACGAACGAATTTGATTTTATCATGCCACATGACATTCCCCGTCACATGTATTGCCCTGACACATTGCTAGATGTCAATCTGGGACAACGAGTGTGAATTGATGATAAATTAAAATGGTGTTTTAATTCATCAATTTTGATTAGATCAAAATAATATTTCACGTCGTTAGAGATCGTGATCGGGAACTTGATAGGTCTCACACAAAAGAGAATTGGAAGATTTCAATTTGTCAGTTAATTAATTTAACAATTGTTCAATAAATTAATTAATTAGGTTAGTTATTTATAGGCCTGGACGGGATTTAATTAAATGGATTAATTAAATATTGGACCGGATCAGGCCAGACATGTTTGGACTTATATAAATACATGACTAGAATTTTCAATCCAGATAGTTTTTTATAATTTTCTTGCTAGCACAAGAGGAGAAAACCCTGGTAGCTGCAATCTGTTCTTTGTATGGATCACCGTTGGAGGCTGGACAATTGGACAGTTGTGGGTAGCGAATCAAGATCATTGGTATAAAGGAAAAGCAAAGTGATTTGCAGATCTAGAAAAAGGTATGACTTTTATCACAATTTCTATCTAAACACAAAGATGAATCCTGGTGGGAATCGAAATCTGTTTTAATTTTTCGCTGCACATGTTAAGTAGATTCCTAACAGTCCGTATACTGGTGCCCACAAAGAGTCTAATTTCATATCTCAGGAATCGAACCCTCACACTGCGGCTGCTAGCAAGATTGAAACTACCTCACTTCTGTACTTTTCACCACTGAATTATGTCCCGGAGGCTGCATCTCATAAAATATCATATGTAACTTGTATCAAAGTCAAAAGTCTTGATTTGGTCTCTTGCATTGTCTAAATTTAGACAGAATTAAGAAACATGATAACAGTATTTGATCAATCATATCCTTTCCTCTTTATGTTGTAAAGGTGCCATTTGCCTGATTCTCTTCCTTAAAATTAGGCCCCGGGGGGGGGGGGGGGGGGGAGGGGGAATCAATTTCAAGCAGTTTCCCCCCTTAAGACCTGGTACCCAAAGAAAAGAGATCCTCTTTATTCTCTCATGGGTTTTTATGGCCATGCTCCATTGGAGGAATCTCTCACTATATTTGCTATATATGTCAAATCTTTACCATTCACTTCACAAAATTATGAGTTTGCCTACAGCACCTTTCCAAAAAGGAAGCCAAGAAAATATTCCCACTTACTTGTGAGATGATAAAGTGGAGAAATATTTGTTTACCTGAAATGGGCACAAGTCCCTAGTTTAATTTACATCCCAGGAATCAGACAAATACACAGATACTCTCTCATTGTTTCGTTTGAAAATTTAGGTTTGAGTGAAATTTAGCAGAGGAAAAGATGACGAGCGCTGAGCCTTCTGGTTCTGGGCAACCTTACAGATCGAAAATGACTGTTTATGTTGTAGCATGTTGGATATTTGCTGCCTTTGGTGGTCTAATGTTTGGCTATGATATTGGAATTTCAGGTATATGCATACTGCTTATAGTATTAGTGCTTGTTTTGCATATGGTAACAGTTGTGGACGGTGTAATAAACAAGATTTTAATCTTTACAAAAGATGCCATTAAATTGTTGCAAGAAACTGCCTTTTGTGACAGAATTTATATGATCTAGTATAAAGAACATGTTTTGGATCCATCCATCAATGGAGTGGATCCATCTTGTATTTCTTCATTGTCCTAAAAATACTTTAGGACGAGATTGCTTTGTTGCACTCTCTAGAGCTCAATCGTGTTGTTGATTATTTCGTCAACTGCATATCAGCACAAATTTTTTGTTTTTTGTTTTTTCCTTTGGTGATGAGAGTTGGAAGAAAACTCCATATTTTCTTCTTGGTAATGACGAAAAATCTACAGCGTCGAGTGGACGTAGCTCTCACGTGTTGAGAGTAACCTAGGATGTAGTTTTTATTTTTATTTTTACTTTTTGCTTATTATTGATCTTCTAATTGGGAATATATCTTTGTGGTGGTTTTAGGTGGAGTTACCTCAATGGATGACTTCTTGAAGAAGTTCTTTCCAGCTATTTATGAGAGGAAATTGCATGCCAAGGAAAACAATTATTGCAAATATGATGATCAATTGCTTCAGCTTTTCACCTCTTCTTTGTACCTTGCTGCGCTTGTTGCAAGCTTTGGAGCCTCAAAGGCCTGCAACGTGCTTGGTAGGAAACCTACAATTGGTTTGGCATCGATACTTTTCATTCTTGGAGCTATAGTCAGTGGAATAGCTCCGAACAAAGCCCTGTTAATCATTGGAAGAATTCTTTTCGGATTTGGAGTTGGATTTGGCAATGAGGTAAATAAGTGTCGTTGTTATTGTCTTTCTCGTACTGTTTTTTGTACATTAGGTGATGAAAGTTTCTAAATTTTTCATTGTTCTGATTGAAATTACATATGAAAATGCAGTCAGTTCCTCTGTTTTTATCAGAGGTTGCGCCAATGCAACACCGCGGGGCTGTCAATATTCTGTTTCAACTTTTTGTAACTATTGGGATTCTTATAGCTAATCTTGTGAATTATGCTGTTTCATCAATTCATCCGAATGGATGGAGGATTGCGCTAGGTCTAGCCGGGGTTCCAGCCATCTTCCTCTTTATTGGTTCCCTTATCATTACTGAGACTCCTTCGAGCCTCATTGAACGTGGAAAAGAGTTTGAAGGGAAAGAAGTACTAAGGAAGATCCGGGGTGTGGATGATGTGGAATCTGAACTCGAAATGATCAAACTGGCGTGTGAGATAGCAAGGCAAGTCAAGCATCCTTACAAGAAACTCTTCAAGCGTGCCAGCATGCCTCCATTGATCATTGGTATCTCGGTGCAAGTTTTTCAGCAGTTCACAGGAATTAATGCCATTATGTTTTATGCACCGGTTCTGTTCCAAACGGTTGGATTTAAGAGCGATGGCTCTTTGCTGTCTGCCATTATCACAGGAGTTGTCAATGTCTTGAGCACCATTGTCTCAATTGTTGTTGTCGATAGGATTGGGAGGAGGAAATTACTTCTTCAAGCTTGTGTGCAAATGTTCATAAGCATGGTGATCATATTTGCCATCTTATCTACAAATATATGCATAAATGCTATCTTATTTGCTTCAAATTTACATGTTTGTATTCGTAGGTTGTAGTCATCTAGACATCTATACGACAAACTAAATTTTGTTTTCTTCTGTTTGAATGCAGGTGGCAATTGGATCAATTCTGCTTATTCATTTGAAGCCTAGTGGTTCACTTGATAAAGGGCTTGCAGCAGTTGTGGTGGTTCTTGTGTGTTTATTTGTTATGTCTTTTGCATGGTCATGGGGTCCAATGGGTTGGTTAATACCAAGCGAAACGTTCCCGTTGGAGACGAGAACTGCAGGATTCGCATTTGCCGTCAGCGCCAACATGCTCTTCACTTTCATCATAGCTCAGGCCTTCTTGTCTATGTTGTGTAACATGCGCGCCTATATTTTCTTCTTCTTCGCCGTGTGGATATTGATCATGGGACTGTTTGTCGTGTTCCTATTACCAGAGACAAAGGGCGTCCCGATTGATACCATGACTGAGAGGGTCTGGAAAAAGCATCCAGTTTGGAGAAAGTTTATGGGTAAAGAAATTGTCAAGAACTATGAGATGACCTAAAACTGTATTAGAAATGAAGAGGTGAAGTTATATTCTCTAACCCCTTTTTTCCCTTTAATTTTTCCCGTTCCAATAAGCAGAAGTTTAGACAAATATGAACTCTGAATAAGTTTTGTTTGAATGGGTGCAGATTTTGTCTTTAAGGTATATGCACTAGGCAGTGGCATCAATTTTCTAGTAGCTTTAAGCTGTAATATTTCATTTTCCATTTATCTTGCGATAGAAAGAACATTTAGCTCTGTAGGAGTTTATAATTCAAATTGATGCAATAAATGCATGTTTGGTACTCACTATTTTGAGAACATAGAGAATAACTCATATTGCGTAATGCGGTCTAATACTATCTAATCTTCCTTACCAACAAGAATGAAGTGAGCGTACCCCAATGCCCCTCTCCTTACCTTTTTAGTAGTTGTCAACCCCATTTTTCTCCTTGAATTGGTCAAAGCCAAAAATATGGTGGATGGAAGGAAAAGGATAGAAAAGATACGTGAACGACTTCGACCATTATCTTTGTATCCGTAATACTGTGAAAAAAGGTCTTGCTCCAATTTGTTTAAGAATAGTGCGTCGAGTTTCTCTACTGAACATATCATGAGAAATATTTAGTACACAATACAATACTAACCAAGTGGAAGATTTTATCTATTTTTCATTTTGCTTCTCTTGATTGAGTAGTGCATGTTGTGGATTGAAGAACTCTAGAATTGTGAAATATATTCCATTTTGGAGAAAGTAAAAGATGGAAAGTTCATTTGCTGGTAAAGTTCTCTTGTGAAAATATACTCAACTATACAAAAAATTGCCATGGCAGTACATTGAAAACAAGAACAGACCGGAATGAAAATTGTTGAGTCTTATGCTGAGTACATTACTAACACCAAGTAAAATGCCAAATGTTTTCACCAGTGAGCTGATAATCCATGTAACTCACAAATTCTGATGATACGATAACGTTTAAGAAACCACAAATAAAAGCTGCAAAACCAGCAATAGCCATCCAAGCTTCTCAAATGGCTTATTTAAAGCCGAGAATCGTGCTGCATTGGGAGAAGGTGCGGGTACAGTATGAACAGGAGAGGATAATGGAGAAGGCGAAGGGGCGACTGAAGGAGAGCGAAGAACGTTGATATCGACTTTCTGTCCAGCCTGGCAGTGACCGGGGACGGCACACATGAAGAAGTGGTGGCCATGAGTATTGATGGTTATGGAATCATTTCCAGTAGTGTGAGTAGAAATGGGAGAAGATGCATTGCATGACTTGTACTCAGCATGTGTTACTTGCATCACATTGTGAAACTGAGGATTGTATTCAAAAACTGTAAAAATTACAAAATGATTAGTTAGATGAGTTTAATACTTCCAACTGAATTAAAGAAACTGAATCAATGCTTGTTTAATGTCAGTCTGACTGCAATTCCTTCACGTTTAATATTGAATTTTTTTTTTTTATTGTTTATTTTTTTAGACATAAACCTCCTGTTTGTCCTATGTAAAATGATACTAATGTTTGCTGTAATGCTTAGCAGAATAAGTGGGTTGCTTTGCAATGTGAGAGCAATGACCATCATTATAGGGCGTGCAATTTGATTTGTGGGTTGGACTTTGATGTTTTTGAGGACTAGAAACTAGGAATTTTTTTGATTTGACAAAATCCCACAAAGGGTCACCTTTTGTCCATTTGATCGACCTTGTGTTGGTGCTCTTGAATCTCGACTACTAGATGGTCGAACCGTGTCATGTAGACAAACCTATTGCATATCCCACAAAGAACTTCCCAAGAAATATACCATACAGTTCAATATATAAGCATCAAATTCACACTCCCCTAATGTCCAATGTACTTATAACCAATGCAAGCCCTTGTGAAACTCGGAAGCCACATAGACACATTTGAGGATTAAGAAGAGGAAATACATACCAATGACGTCACCAATTTGAAAATTTTTTGTAGCTGACCACTGCTTATAATCAACATTTCCGATGGTGGTCCAACCTGCAGAATCTCCCACCTTATGAACCTCTCCAATTGAAACCTGCACTGAAGTTAAGATGAAAAACAAAACTGCCAAAACTGTGTTTTCAAGAACAAGGGCCATGGCTTTCTCGCAAAATCTGTCGAACTTCTGTGAAAAAGTTTGACACGTTATGGAGAAACTGAAGAGACAATTTTCTGATTTTCAGTTTTGGCTCGTTTATAAAGTTTTTGGACTTTTGGAGGTTAATTTGGTGCTTACCAGAATGGACCCTTCTTGTCATGATAATGGCTAGCCCCTAAATGAAAGAGGGCTCCCACCATTCAACAAACTCCTTTTAATTCTTGACTTTTTTATGATGAAAATGACAAATTGCACTCTATTATGAAGATTAATTTTTTGTGATTAAAAAAAAAAAAAATTAATGTTAACAATTTGTATTTATTCATTTAAACTCTACATGTGGAGTAAAATAGTGTTGTTACGTAGAATGTACGATGAACTTCATCGAAGTAGTATAGATAAATTAGCCAAAACTCTAACCTACACATGAAGAGGCGTATATTTTTCAGCACATTCAATTCTTAAACTGCAAAAAACCACAAAATCTATTTACTTAATTGAAGTAAACAGACAGATGGTATAAAATATTGAGGTAAAATTCTCACATCTGAGCTGTTGGCAGGCTTTTGTATATTGTTATAAACTAACATCCAACCAATAGTTGAAATACTTGAAAGGAAAGAATGGTGGGGGAAAAGGTGGTTGGATCCTTAACACAAAAAGGGACTCGTGAAAAACAGTATCATAATGACATTTTAGTTGTATTATTGATTTCTATACGGGGAAGACATGCTTTTTTCTTGCACTCAAACTGCAACTCTACAGGAGAAAGAACATTGGTATTAGTGGCCTGTAACCCAAGTTGGACATTGTGTAACTAACAACCGGAAAGAGGTTAATAGGAACCTCTTTTTCCCTAAATTAGTTAAAGTTATAAGTGATGTAAAGGTAATATTTGGTACAAATTTATTGGAGGATTTGATGAGTCTCGAACGAAATAAAGAATATAAAATTAGTATAGAAATTTAAGAGAAGAAAATTGTACTCTCAATATTCAATTGCTATGATTCAAGTTTTTAGTAATGATGAAATACTATAAATGAGGAATCTTTTTATATTACATTTGATTCATAAAATATAATTGTTAATACACAAATTTAAACACCCATTAAAATTTTTAAATACATGATTATGAATAAATTTATCTATAATAACTCTAGATTCATGTAATTCAAGATTCATCAAATGAAAATTTATTGAATTTAGGTTAATGTGAATGTTAATTAATTGAGAATTAATAAAAAAAAATGTCATAAATGACAATAATTATGTAGTATTTATTACACATTATTGAAATAATTGAATTGTAGAAAGGTTAAAATAGTCAAAAAAACGATTCTCTCTTGATGTGATTTTTCAATATAAGGAAAAAAAAACTCTAAATCCTTAACCTACACAAGCCAATTCAACAAAAGGGAACATTACAAGTTGGCTTGGTGGGTTTTGACGGGCTATTATAACTTTTTGTGTCAAGCATGTCCAGTTGTCCTAGTATCACTAAATGTAATTAGTACAATTAGTAATGCTATTTAGCCACATTGGTGTTGTAATCCCAGTTTAGGTGACACTAAATGGTAAGTTAAATGAAATGTGAAATTTAATGATTTATTTAATTTTTCGTATAAATTAATGTCACATTAGCACCACCCGGAGTTGCAACTTCAATGGAGTTATATAGCATTACTCTAATATAAAAACTATTCCCCAAATTCGCCCAGAAAGGATAAAACGACATGAGTCAAAAGGTTAAATGAGTAGTAAAAAAAGTAAATAAATAAATAAAAGGAAAACTATATCTGTGTTTGTTGCTTTTCATTGTAGCACGATGTATCTGCTTGATTAAAATTGTAAGGTGGATCACAACATAGTATTGGTGCAAGTTGATTGGTCTAGAGAATGTGACTTGGATTGTATTAGTTATGGAGTAATATGGGCCATAGATTAAATACAATGGTTGGATTTAATTTTGTGGTCAATTACCTTTACTAGTGTTGTCACTCTCTAGACCATAGTACAATATTTGAATTTTGAATTCAAATGAATTGGCTCTATAATTTCAAGACCTCTTCATTCTCTCTACTTGGACTTGGCATAACATTTGAGAGAGAGCATAGAGAGGTAACCAAGTGGGAGCTTTCCATAACTCCGACGAAATTCTTGGTGGCTTCCGACGGATCCTTTCTCAGTATATCCATTGTCATTCCCGTGGACGACGGTACATGATCCGATGTGGTATAAATATGAGCTCAACATCAAGAACACTTCATTGGTGGTGTTGAAGAAGCTTTGAGTCGTGTTTGGTTCGGTTTTACACTTTGAGAGTTTATTATTCCGCATTGTAGTTGTAACGGATAATTAGAAAATTATCATGATTAGACAATTATCTTTGCCAAGATAACTGTCTAATTTCCTGATTTCTCTTTTAGTTCAAATTAAGATTACCCTTATAATTTGTTTTTCCATGTTGCTCTTTTATTACAATAATGTTTGCTCTTTAATTTACTTTTCCCATAAAGGGGTATCTTGTAATGGCTATTTATTAGCAAGAGAAAAGTGAATAAAATCATAAAATGAATTTGTCTTCAACCTTGTGTTGATTTAGGAGTTTTATTGGTTTACTCGAATTAACCAATACAAGGAGGCCACAGACCTCTCGAAGTGTCCAACCATATCACCATTATAGGTCGTCAACGCAAGAACAATCCTTGGTCCTTATCCGTCAATCAACCTATTACTCGATCCATATCCGAAGCACGTAACAACTTGGTATCAGAGCCAGCCATGTCCGACCCAGGTGTTAATAAATTGGAGGGCGAAATAGGCTCGTTGTAACAATCGATGGAATCATTCCAGAAAACGGTAGAATCCATGTTCGCCATGTTCTTCCATTAACGTGAGGAAGGGTCGGGCAAAGGACGCGAGAATGGAGAAGGTTACTCTTACATCAACTCTCGAGGATCTACGGGTGGAGGATTCACTGCACCAAAAATAATAAAGTTAAATTTTCCACGCTATAATGGCATGGATGATCTGACCGGGTGGATTTGTCGTGTGGAGCAATTTTACGATTTTCACCAAATTGAGGAAGCGGATAAATTGCCATTGGCAGGGTATCATTTGGATGGGGATGTCCAACTATGGTACCAAAGTTTTAAGGCGAGACGAGAAGGCGTGAACTGGGAAGTTTTCAAATATGAACTCCATCTTCGTTATGGACCATCGCGGTACCATAATTTTTTTGGAGATCTCACGAAGCTTAAGCAAACAGGGAGTGTTCATGATTACTAAATGGAGTTTAACCGATTATTACACCGAGCAGGATCTCTTTCCGAAGGACAACAAGTGGGATGCTTTATTAGTTGTTTGAAGGAAAGTTTGCGTGTTGATGTCCAAGCATGCAATCTAGTATCCTTATCTGCCGCTTTGGGCTTGCACGCCTATACAAGTCAATGTTTATCGACCAACGTAGAAGTGGGTTCTCGGAGTTTAGGAAGGCCCCCATGACTCCCGGGCCTTCTCCTATACCTTCAGGGTCACTCACATGGGCACGCAACCCCGTCATAAAAAGACTAAGTCCAATGGAATTACAAGATCGGAGATCTCGTGGGCTTTGTTTCAATTGTGACGAGAAGTTTTCGCCGGGACATCGATGTAAGAAATTATTTTTCTTCGAAGGCATATTCCCTTCTTCAAAGGAATCCGAGGATGAAGTAACTGTGGAGAAAGAGCTTGAAACCAATATACTTGAAATTAGCTTCCATGCTATTTCGGGAACGTCAAATCCAAGAACCATACGTTTACTTGACAAGATTGGGGGTATCCCAATTACTATTTTGATAGACTCTGGTAGCACCCATAATTTTCTTAATTCTAAGGTGGCTTCCAAAGTGGGAATCAAGGCTACAAAACCAAGGGCATTTTTAGTACAAGTGGCAAATGGCAACAAAATGAAAAGTGAAAGGTTATGTGAATCCACGGGTTTCACCGTCCAAAAATTTGATTTCCAAGTTGATGTTTTCCTTCTACCAGTGGAAGGTTGTGACGCAATTTTTGGCATCTAATGGATTGACACACTAGGCCATGTTACTTTTGACTTTAGGGAATCATGGATGAGATTTCTTAGGAAGGGCAGACTGGTGGAGTTACGTGGGCATAGAGGGCTTTCAAACAAAATCCTAGCTGGACAGAATTTTGGGCAGCAGTTAAAGAAGGGAAGTCATGCTTTTTTGCTCCAATTAAACTCCCTGAATCTTGGAGAAAGGCAAGTGAATCAGCAGGGCACATTAAATCCAGAATTGCTGGCCATTTTGAGTCATTATTCGGATATTTTCATGGAGACTCAAGGACTGCCACCTCAACGTATCCAAGATCACAAAATTCCATTGAAACAAGGGGCTAATCCAATTTCGGTGAGACCGTACCATTACCCACATTATCAAAAAAATGAGATAGAAAAAATAGTTCAAGGATTGTTATCAACCGGTGTGGTGAGGCCTAGCACAAGTCCATATTCCTCGCCCGTTTTATTGGTCAAGAAACATGATGGATCATGGAGGCTTTGGGTAGATTATCGGGCTCTCAACAACATCACTATTAAGGATCGCTATCCAATTCCCATCATCGATGAGCTTTTGGACGAATTACATGGGGCCCAATTTTTTACAAAATTGGATCTACGGTCGGGGTACCATCAAATCCGCATGCACCCAGGTGACATCAAAAAAACTGCTTTTCGCACACATGAAGGCCACTACGAATTTCTAGTCATGCCGTTTGGTCTCATGAATGCACCGGCAACCTTTCAAAGCGTCATGAATGAGGTATTTAAGGTTTTCCTTCGAAAATTCGTTTTAGTATTTTTCGATGATATCCTTATTTTTAGCAAGTCTTGGGATGAGCATTTAATTCATGCGAAGCGTGTATTTCATACATTAAGGGCTAACAAATTTTTTGTTAAGTAGAAAAAATGTCAATTTGGCTAAAAAGAGGTTGCATATTTGGGCCATATAATCTCTATACAAGGCGTAGCCATGGATCCCGAAAAAATATCCTCCATAAATTCATGGCCCAACCAACCACATTAAAGGTATT